CATGTACAGTGTATCTAAGTACATGTACATGTACATGTATAGTGTACTGGTTTCTATTCTTCATGTTAATAAATGAATTAATTAATTAATAAATAATGTACATGTACATGTACTAACATTATGTCCGTTATCATTTAAAATAGCAGAATACCTCATGAAGTACATGTACATGTAGATTGATTCCACTTTTAATTTGATTAATATATTTATTTATTATTATTATTATTATTATTATTATTATTATTATTAATTAGGTCTGATACAAGGAAAGGAATTGTTCACAAACGTACAATTGATCCAAAATTTGGAGAAGTGTTTAGATTTAAGGTAAGATACAGCATGTCTTCTCTCTCTCTCTCTCTTTTATGTTTTGCTGTACATGTTGTATGATTGTGTGTTGTTGTTTTTATTTTTAGTTAGGAAAAGACGACAAAATCAATGATTTTATAATCAGGTAATTGATAATAATAACAACAACAACAACAATAATAATAATAATAATGATAATAATAATGATAATAATACCATGATAATACTTTAATTTGATCCAATATTAAACTTCAATTGAAATATTCTCCCAATGACTAACCCACCTACCATTAGTATGTACATGTACATGTGCCCCTTCATGTACTGTAGGATATCACTGTGGCACCAGCAGCAGCTAATGGGGGACGTGTTCTTAGGACAGATACACTTATCACTCTCCTCATTATCACTCACTGGACCACACCCACCTCGCTCCTACCAGGCCTGGTACAGTCTCCGCCCCAGGTCAGAGTACAGTCCGTTAAAGATTGGATCAATGAGATTATTACTAATATACCATGAGGACTATATACTCACATCAACCACTTATCAACCACTCCTGAACCTACTAGTGAACTCCATCACTGAACCGGTACGAGTATGTACATGTACAGTGTAGCCTCTTTATTAAGGACACCATTGGACCCACACTACCTGTCCTTAATACATGTACAGTGTAGCCTCTTTATTAAGGACACCATTGGGCCCACACTACCTGTCCTTAATACATGTACAGTGTAGCCTCTTTATTAAGGACACCATTGGGCCCACACTACCTGTCCTTAATACATGTACAGTGTAGCCTCTTTATTAAGGACACCATTGGGCCCACACTACCTGTCCTTAATACATGTACAGTGTATCCTCTTTATTAAGGATGTTCAAGGTACTTTTGTATAGGTTTCTAACTTTGTATCAAAGATTTCAGCTACATGTACATGTACTAGTTGACATGTTGACATGTTTTTGTTGTGACAGTTAATCTTGTTGTTTGTTTGATATTATTACTGTTATGTACTGTAGGATTTTCAAGATACCTCATTGTGTATACTGAATGAAGTGAGTAAGGACAGATCAGCAATGGGTCTCTGTATAGTCAATCTATTCCTCCAACTCAATAAAGTATGAAACTAATGGACATGTTTATGTTGATAATGTACATGTACATGTATTTTATCTTTTAGTTTGAGGAGTTAGCTCATAGACTGATTACAGTTGAAGTTACCTCCACCAGGTAATGCTTTATTTATTATTAATTTGTTGTTCCATTTAACAGACAGCACCTAGTGTACCAATTACATTCCTTACTGTATAAAATAACCTCCACATAAAGGACACCTCTGTATAACAGAGACACTTTCTTGTACATAAGTGTCCATTATATAGAGGCTACACTATAATTAATAATCTTTATTTATTTATTTATTTATTTATTTATTTATTTTAGTGATCCTAATACATTGTTTCGTGGTAATTCTGTGGCCAGTAAAGTGATTGATGAGTTTATGAAAGTTGTTGGACAAACTTATCTACACAGGACACTACAACCTTGTATTGATGAGGTAATGATGATAATAATAATAATAACAATAATGATGATAATAATAATAATTGTATTATTTAATGTTTTAATTTAGATATTTGAAGTGAAGAGATCGTGTGAAATTGATCAGTCGAAATTATCTGAAGGAGAAAATATTGACCTTAACATGGTAACTTTAAAATGATTGTATACATGTACATGTACTTATGTTGTGTAGAAGGTTTGAGCTAATTCCAATCAAAATTGGATTTTTTATGAATTTTTAAAGTTACTCTAAAATTGGGTCAAAGTCCCTGTACTATAGTACAGGGTCGTTGGCCAAATTTTGCCAAAAATTAAAAGTTGAGAATTTTTAATTTTTATAATATTTTCAGATGTACTTATGTTGCGTAGAAAGTTTGAGCTGATTCCGATCAAAATTGGATTTTTTATAAATTTTTAAAGT